GATAACTTTAAAATTCATCGAGATATGAGCTGTGAAAGTTAAGGCATTGATTTTTTTTCAAATGTAGATTTGCTTGACGGCTGCCCATATATATACAATATATATATACAATATATATATTGCTATATATATATATATATATATATATATATAATTTTAATTAATATATATATATTTATATATATACGTATAAATTTATAAAATTAGTTGTATACTTCAAATTAGCAAAGCTTCAGAAATAGTTAAAATTAGAATTTAGTACGTATAATTTGGGCCAAATTCTTCTACTAAAATCTCGATAAGTCAAAAGTTTGTAAAAAAAATTTTACTAGCACTAGTGCTAATAAAAAATTTTTTTTTTTACTGTAATGTATATTATACATAACGCCCTCGCAATAGCATATGCTGTAATACTTAGTTGCAGTCCCTACATTATGCTGCTAGATGCTGCTAGTCGCAGGCTCCATTTTTAATTGATATTTGTACTATAATGGGCAATTAGGATTTTAAGATTCCTATCGAAATCCTCCAGTATTTCAATTTAGGCAGCAGTTTAAATATAATCGATGGATGAAATTTAAGTGATTTCGCAAGAAAACCCTACAGAACTTGGTAGTCTAGAACGTAAAAGCTTCTTACAAGTTTGCTAATTTATGAGTAGTACGTACGTACGTACGTTTGTGATAGTAGGTTCACGTCGCTGTGAAAGAGGCTTTGGCACGTCTCCTCATTGGGCTGTCAGTGTCACCTAGAACAAGTATAACATGTGTAAATGTATTGTTTATAAATATCATCATTACGCAGTTTTTCGGTGGGCTAACGGCTAACGCTGTCAAACTTTTTTTTTTTTTTTTTTTTCCTGTCTTTGCAGTGACGAGAAACCGAAACCCTCGTTTGTGATCAATACTGGATAAGAAAAATTAACGCAGTTTCTGGTCGATATAAAACTTGCGTTCTACTACTAAATAAAAAAAAAAGCAAGACAGTGTATTCAAATTCTCTTTCTTTTTCATTTGACTACGCACGGGTATTACCTAAAGAAAAACTACACAGCCATGCCTCGTAAACCGACAAGAAAAGCTACTTCTCGTCGTGTGACCACAAATACTTCTGTCGTTCAACCCACTCTTCACACAACGAATCTAAACTCTCAAATTCAAATACCAACAACTCATTCTACAATTCAAATTCCAGCACCACTGCTTACGCCTCAACAACAATTAAATATTCATGATGCCTTATCTTATCTTGATAAGGTAAAAGCTTCATTCCATGATGACCCACGAGTTTACAACCAATTTCTTGATATAATGAAAGATTTCAAGAGCAGAAATATTGATACCCAAGGTGTTATTACCAGAGTAACAATACTATTTCGAGATCATCCGGCATTGGTTCAAGATTTCAATACCTTCTTACCACCTGGCTATCAAATTGTATACCTAATGGATAAAGAAGATGACCCGGATTCAGTTAAAGTTGTTACACCTTATGGTGATAGATTCGTTTATGTTGGTGATAAACGTAGGGATGAAGATGGATGTCACATGGATCATTGGTAATGAAGTGAAGGAATGAATTTAATGATTTGTTCTTACAAAATCTACGAATCACTTTGTATTTTCACTCAATTCGCTCAAGTTTTGCTAGTCTTATTTTGCTCTCATTTAATTCGTTTTTGATAGCCTTGCACATTAAGTATTATTAGCTAATTTAGTCTTGTTATTTTCTTAAAGCAAATCAATTAGATATATGTAAGTTTTGCTTATTTGATTCGCATTTTTTTGATCTTTTAAGGAAAATTTTTTGAAGATTATGGTTCTTATTGAACTATAAAAAAAATTGGTTACAAAATTAGAAAATTGGGTGTTCAATTTATTACTGATAAATTTTGGCTTATATAAAATGCTTTGATTAATAGGAAATCTTTTTATAAATAAACCGGTGATTTTAATAGTAATATCTTAAAAAAAAAACATATAATTAAGCAATCGTATACAGTGTCTAAATGATATTTAATTTTAAAATAAAGTCAAGCATTAGATTCATCGTTGAACGGCATCATATGTTAGATGTTAGAGTAATTAATATCTTTAAAGATTTTAAATTGGTATATTACGGCGGTCAATATACCTACGTATGAAAATTTTCTTTTTTTTGCCTTGTACCTTCCCGTTGGGGAGTATAACAGGAAAATCAAAACTATACGTGGGGATCGTCTAAAGCCGGGTAGTAATTTATATGAGGCATGTGATTTTTAATTTACAAATTTGTTAGTAATCAACTTAAAAATTACCTGGCTTTATATGTAGTACTGTACCATATAAAAATTAATTTTAAATTTTCTTTTATGAATTTAGTGATCAGGACAGTGATTGGGATTATTTATCACTTTATATATATAATTTTTAATAGTAAAGCATGTTTTTAGATATTTAGAGTGAATCGCTTTACTTTTAAATTATTTTATCATATATCTATTTCTTAAACTCGTTTTTAACAAAGTTATGTTGAAATTTTTAACATTAATATTAAATTTCAAGCCGACTCTTTACAAAAACTCTGCTTTATATTATAAACTATTCAGTATTGTATTATCAAATTATAATAATTTATAATTTGTAAAGGTTAAGTTAGTTAACTTAAATTTTGGATTTTTTAATTATTTTTGTTCAGAGGACTCGTATTTATATGCAGGTAATTTTGTCATTTTTTTGTTTGTAACATTCCTGAAAAATTTAATCTGCGACATATATACATAACTGGAGTTTTTAGAGGCTGAGGTTATTAATTGAATATCCGTATATTTATACTAATTTTTGGTTTCTAGTATTAAAATTGTAAATATTATTTTAATTAAAAAATTTTTTAAAATTGTTTATTTTCAACCTATAAGTAATCTAAACTTTTTATCTTACTATATAAATATAAATTTTGCAAAATATAATTCTTATTTTTAAATATTATTATATAAAGAATTTATTTAATATTTGCTAGAGTGAAATTTACCATTCTAAGAGTTTTTAGGATTAGAGTGCAGTTTTAAAATAAAAGAGAAGTTTTATATAATATACAGTAATATAGATTAAATAAGATTTTGATTTTAATTTTTATAAAGTTTTTAGAGATTTTGAAAATTTTTACTTAGATTTTTTAAAATTACTTAGTATGTTTTTAAAATATAGCACTCTGGTAAATTTTATTTCTAGTGTGTATTTTTTTTATTTTTTTTTTGAGTGTAACACCTACATCTAAATTTTATTTAATACTTAAATGATAGTGCCAATATAGTATATATATATATTATATTAAGAACTAAAACTAAAATATCAGATAATACCATCTGATATTATTTTTGTATTATCTTTAAGATTTTTATAACAATACTATTTTAACATAAATTATAAATGCTACTTTATTCATAGCTACTGTATATAAATCCACCAGAGCTAACTATATTTTCACTATATAGCTAGTCTGAACTTGTATATTCCTTTTTAACTGCTAATTAGTATTCATATATTTATTATATTATTTATATTATCTACTATTTCAACTTTTAAATTGGTGTATATTATTTTAGATAAGTATTTAGGTATGTCTAACAGAGAATTGCTTTCTTAATTTCTACTAATATATTTTCAGAAGTTTATATATAGCTACTTCTACTCAATTGAATAAGTATTTCAAGCTTTATATTGCTATAACTAGCTAGTTTTTTATAATTTGAAACCCAGATTTTAATATATTGAATTTGGTAATTGTGCTAATAATTGCATTTTTCAATATAGTAATAAAGTGTCTAGATATGTTTTGTAAATACTTCTAGTATCTAATATAGTTAGGTAGTATTATAAAGCTTAATCTTTTTTTTTTTTTTTTAATATTTAAGATAAGACCTTGCTCTTATCTTTATTAAACTTTTTACATAATTAAAAAAGGTTTTAAATTTTAAGTCTAGTGCTAAGAATAAGAACTCAGACATCTAGAAAACCTAATAGGTAATCTAAATATTTATCTGCAGTCTAAACCTACCAGAGTGGCCAAAGCTCACCTAGAGTTGGAATAAATTAAAAATATAAGAAGGGTGTGTGCGGTATTTAATCCAGTTAGTATACCAAAATAATACTTTTAACGGAGATGTTTGAAGAGTAGTATCAGATATATCAGGAGTAGAGAGAGTATCTTTAGAAAGTGCTAGTATAGGAGATAGCTAAGGTTGTATTAGCTGGGGTTGGGGTCTTGAACTATAATAAGGAATCCAGATATTTGAGTACAATTGTTTGTTAACATGAAGAAGAAATTGTATAGAGATTGAGTTGGCTGCT